GACCCCACCTTGATGTTTCAGGACCCCACTTTGGGTCCCGACCCCAACTTTGGGAACCACTGTTTTAGACGACTCCAACTGGGAGGCAAAAACCAAACTTGAATTGTCACCCGTAACGACTAAACAAATCGAGGTGGAGGTCAAACTGGTAGTTTCCATTGGCAGGCCGAGTTTGTGATGTTTAAGAAACTGATACAATTTTTAGTCAAAAATGTAAAAATAAATAAAAAAATAAATAAAAACACTTACCTTATTGGAAATAAATAAATTAACCCCCTTACCTCGTTTAAAACCAGCCCTGTGAAAAAAAGCCCGAATTCTCAGATCAAGTGTTCAGCTGTTTGCAGAAAACACAACAGCTTTACGATACGACACGCTGATTTTTAAGGTTGTTTTGAAAACCTACCTCAGCTTGCAGAGCTCCACAACATTTTTTTAAATATATTTGGAGTGTGAGGACATCCAGCTGCAGCATTCCTACCTTTTTAGTTTTACCATCTTTTAGGATCACATTCAAGCTGTAAAACATGACGAACCTTCCTGTAATCACACTCATATGCATTAAAAAATAAAAAAAAAAAAATTAATCTTTTCCACCACTCATTACATTGTTCCAAGTTTTTTTTTCACCAGCAGATGGTGATGACGTGCTGGAGTCATCTTTGTTTTATTCTGGGGCAGAGTTGGAATCGGTCGTTTTACTTGGAGCTCATGAATGTGCGTTTGGCAGGACTTGTGTTTTACTGTAAGTGAAGTAAGGAAAGAAGATTTCACTTTTTTCTGTGCTTCATTTGTCTTGAAGTTTAATGACAAAATCTAGAATGAAGAAACGAACCCCACCTGTCAGATTGTGTTCAGCAGAATCTTTTTAAAACGCATTGTCATGCAAAATGAATGATTCAAAACAAGCTGCAGTTCTGAACATGAGCCAATAAAACCTTTACCTGAACACGGGGAAGGAACCATGTTTTATCTCCTTTAACAGTTATGGCCATTAAAACATGGCTCCAAACCGTACAATGAGACAAWTTATATCATTTATTAAAAAAGCAAAAGTGCCCCATTGGTCAGTACATTAGTATGAATGCTGGAGAACAAATTTGCAAACAATAAATCAATTGATCAATCTGAGATGTAAAAGTGATGAACCAACAGCAGCTAGTTTTGATAAACAACACACTGGTTCCAGGTGTGTACCGTACCATTAATCACTCTGTCTACCTGGAAAATAAAGTRAAGGTGGACCCCTAGTGGTTGGGTCTTCACAACATACTGATTTTCACAAGATGCACCAAACTGACAAAAAGATAAATTAGAAAGCACGTCTTTGCACTTTCAGAAGTTATATTTTTCCCCCAGTATTGTCACATTAATGAATTTCAAAATCAGCTACTGCTGAAACATGACAAATGGCCTGGTTCTTTTCTACCAGGATGCATTCATTTTATTTCTGTGCTTCTCCCATTGGTAGTAGAATTTTCTGATGTAACAGCAGGAAGGAAGAAAGCAACAGAAATATAGAAGTAAAAAAAATACAAAAAAAAAAAACAGAAAAAAACAAATTAATAAAAGTTGCATGAATCATGAAATCGAACGGGTTAGGAGTATAAGATCTTAAATGGTACGAGATGTTTTGTACAGGAAACACATTGGGAGCAGACAGAACTATTAATGAGAATATACTGTATACAAGGATTAAAAAGTCCAAATATAGGTTTGTGTTAGTATAGTGTATAGATCAGTAGAATAAAATAAAACACATTCCCACACACAAAACGCTAAGAAACCACCACAACAGCAGCATTAAGTTGTAGTTGAGACAAATGCCCTTAGTATAAAGAAAAAATGGTTACTGGATTAATTTAGAGTAAAACAATCCAGATCATACAACATTAGATATATATATATATTAAATAAAAGAAGCAGCTTTGGGAGGGTTATCAATGAGAAAGGGGAAAAGTTCAAGTAAGCATAAGATAAGTTCAAAACAGTACAAATATATAATATGGATACTATTGACTGCAAAAGCAGATTAAAAAACATAAGGAAAAAGGGATTATTTTAAATCAATACACAGAATAGGAATRGCAAAAAAGGTTATGCACACACATTTCAGCTAAAATGAAAACAAATTACAAACAATTTGTCAGTATACACCTGGGAAATTAGCATTTGCAGKACAGTGGATAGAAGTAATAGAAACATTAAAAACAACAGTTTGTTCAGATTGAAGTTTAGCACCTAAAACTTTTACACCACAACCATTCAGAAAGCAGAACAGACATTTGATTGACAAAATACAGCCATCATTCAGAATACAGATGGCAGCTGTGGAAGTTAATTAGGAAAAAAAAATTAGATTCCATTATTATTATTATTATTATTATCATTTTTAAATTGAAACAGACACACTTGTTTGAAAGAATTCAGTTTTTTGAGCATCGTTTCAATTCACACTTCCTACCAGAAGTTGGCAGTGAAGTACCAAATTGTTTGCAAACCGTCAAAGAAGTCACAACAGAAGATACAACTGAAAATGTTTTAAAGAAGTAGTTTTAGGAATATGATTAGATTGGAAAAAAAATCCAGAAAATTGATAAATGTACATAAACAAAATCTGAAATATTGAGAAGTTTGACAGGAAACAAATGCGGCGCAGAAAGAACAGCAATGAAGAGAGTATATAAAGAATGGATTACCGGTAAGTCAAATCTAGTTTATGGCAGTATATAGTGTATGGATCAGCAGCAAACACTCATCTGGGAAATACTTGACAATATAAGCACTGAGTATCTGTACTGGAACATTCAGAACAACCACAGCAACGTTTGAAACGGAGACAAGAAAAATACCTTTGGAATTAAGAACACAGCTCATAATAAATTACTGGATTGATTTACAAGCAAATAATCCAGATAGCCCATCATTACATATTTTAAAGTCATGTTGGGCAAAGGTAAAGAGGGAAACAAGAAGCTTTGGGAGGGGGGATTTATCAGAATGTGGAAGAAGTTCAAGTAAGCAACATAAATCCAATAGTACCAATACCAGTAAAATACTACTGACTGAAAAACTAAATTTAACTTGATGAAAAAAGTTTCATTTTTAAATTCATACACAGTACAGGAATATAAATACTAGAATTTCAGATAGATTTGGACAAATTACAATCAATTTGTCAGTACACGCTGAGGAAATGTTAGCATTATTAGCAGTGGTCGATAGAAGTAGGACCATTAAAAACAACAGTTTGTTCAGATTCCAGGTTTTAGCACCCGTACAGCACAGCCATTCAGAACGCAGCGCAGATATTTGATTAGAAACACAGCCATCATTCAGAAGACAGACGATGGGTTTGGACATTACTGTGGACACCAGCACACTTTGGGGCTGAGGGACATACAGCAGATAAGGCAACAACAGGAAACTGAACAGTGTTGTGAGTGAAGTTGCATGGTGGAGGAATTCAGAAAGCTTAAACATTTAATGTTTCAAATCTATTACAAGAGTCTAGAAGTAAGAGTRTTCAAATTTTGATTAGGTTCAAGAAATCAATATGAATATGGACACATACGCAAGTCAACCAAGCATCATTTAGACCTGTACCAGTAGGGATATTATAAATSTAACATTTTGATGTGTTACAATGGCACTTGACAAACYGTAATGCTTCAAATGGTAACTGTGTGTTCAATGACTTTGTACTTTTTGTGTTTTTATGATGTAAAACTGATTTGATTGATTGATTCCCCATAAAGCACAAGGAGCAGCAACAGCAGGAAACAGGTTAAAATAGTTACAGGGAAATTCAATATCTGATACTGTATTGAAACAGATACTCTTGACTAAAAGAATGAGGATTTGTTTTGTTTAGTGGGGTTTTTTTGGAGCATTGTTTGAGTTTATAATTCCTTCCAGTAGGTGTTGGTGATGCAAACTGTTTGCCAACAATCAAAGAAACTGCCAACGGCAGTGAGTGAGCATCAAGAGTTTCATCAACAGTTAGCAGTGAGCAAACAGTAAGCAYTGACATTATGGTTCATGTTTTTGTTTTTCATCGTTTTGTTCTTATGATTTTGTGTTCCATGTTTTATTTTACTATTTGTATTGTGTGCAGCACTTCAGCCAAACAAAAGTTTTTATATGTGCTACAATAAAGTTGATTTAATTCAGTGCTATAAGAACCTTGGATGTCACAATTCTCATTCAGTTTATCCTACCTTTGCTGTGTTTGTTTGACTGACCCATGAGCTGAGCTCTTCCACACACTGAAAATGATCAGCTCTGGCTTTCGTCCTCTTACCACCTTGGTTGCTCATTTGGAATTRACAACACCTGGTGCATCACCCAATCAGTTCCAAGGTCCTGTTTTTGGGTCARTTTGAACTGACGTTACCAAACTCCAAGTAATGCCTACTTTGTCTGACCTTKATGGATTTAGAAAAAGAAAAGAAAATATTAGTTATTTAAGAAAAAATGGTGGCTCAGTGTTTGGAGATGTCACCTCCTGGCCTGTGGCCTCTCCGGGTGAAGTGTACACGTTCTCCCCCATGCACACTTGGGTTTCCTCCCACATACCAAGAAATACACACAAACAGAAATACACTTTTTATTTATATCTCTCACATGCTGATGAAAACAGTCAACACACAAAGTGCAGTGAACCAAATTCTTGAGTTCCTCTAATGAGTAGTACTTATTGTGTCCAGCAGATGGCGCTGCTGACTTATTGAATCGTCCTTTAGCTTTGGAAATTTATATTCTGACATGATAGGTTTCAAGAAGGGACACAGTTTTACACAAAACCTTTATTTTTTAAAGAAAATCACAAAATAAGTATTGGCTGCCACATTCATAATTTACCAACAAAATTTAAACACACAACAACAACAAAAACTGAGATGAAGTATAAACAATTTCAAGTGTAATTGCAATAACTGTGAAGGTGATAATGAAAACTGAACCAAATGTATAGAAAACAATGTTTATGTAAGACAGTTAAACTTGGATAGTTTAATTGCATCAAAAACCAATAATAATAATGAAAAAACTGAATTTATTATTGCAGTCTTAAAAAGAAAACATGATTTTTGGAAGCTAAAATAGCTTTAATGATCGGAAAAATGCACTCGACAATTACTCCCAAAACGTTTCCTTACAAAGTTGTACTTTTTTAGTTATTATTGTAGAAATTCAGATAATAAAGCTTTAAATTCATCTTAGGCATTCAAAACAGCATGGTATATTC